TTTTGAAAGACCTGTGCACCTGGAATCATAAATACACTTAACATATCATGAGATTAACAATAGTAGGGTTGGGGCCGGGGAGATGGCTCAGTGGAATAAGCGCTTCCCTGGCAAGCACAAGGGCTTGAGTTCAATCCCCAGTTCCACCAAAAAAAGAAGAAAAAAAAAGAACAATAGCGAATTGCCGTACACATGTGAAAACTTGTTTTTTCAATTTAGTTTTGTACCAAACTATGAAAAGAAAACGTTATGACTTTCTTTTTGAAAAACTTTATCTTTTAATCAATTACTATTTACTGAGGGTGTCTCCTAAGAGACTATTGAGATTATTAGAAGCTTCTCATTAATGAATAAAAAGTTTGGCCACACCTCTTACTCATCAATTAGACTCCTCCCTTAATAATTTTTTCCCACTCTAAGGAATTTTTCTTTAATTAACTTAAGCCTTATGATGTATTGTATATAATATAAATCAATTATAGGGGCCGGGGAGATGGCTCAGTAGAATAAGCACTTTCCTGGCAAATGCAAGGACCTGTGTTCAATCCCCAGTTCCACAAAAAATAAAAGAAAATCAGTCAATCAGTAAATCAATCAATCAATTTTAATATCACTTTTTTTGTGTGGTGGAACTGGGGATTGAACTCAGACCCTTGCGCTTGCCAGGGAAGCCCTTATTCTACTGAGCCATCTCCCCGGCCCCGCTTCAGAAATTTTATAAGTAGCTTAGTGAGATTTTGTTATTTGTCAATCATTAGAGATCTCATTATAAAAATTTGGAAGGAATAAATTTTTTTTTTGTATTTTAGGGAAGGGTCTACAGGGTGTTCAGGTTCTCACTACTAGATCGGACTTGTAGTTGATCCACCTGTTTACAGCCTCCCATGTGCTGGGATTACAGGCCTGCGCCACCTCGCCCAGTCTGATTACTGTCTCAGGGTGCCCCAGGGGCGGGGCCGGCACCGCATGCTGGGGTATTGAACCCCTGGCCCCTGTGCCTCCTTGCAGGCATTTTCTTTTT